ATACACCCAAGGATGTCTTACAGGTGTTGTGTTTTGAGGCCCCAAGTCCTTTTGTTAATATGTCTGCTGGCATCTCGGTCGTTGAGATGTAATTCACGGATATAGTTCCCTCTTCAACCAGCTCTCGGATGAAATGGTGGCGGATGTCAACATGCTTGGTGCGTTTGTGAAATACGTTTGTGAAGTTGACCGGCTCCTTGATTGTCGTTGTGAATGACAGTTGTCTTCAGTTGCCCCAAAACTTCGCTTAGGACACTTCTAAGGTGAACCGCTTCTTTTGATGAGTCTGATAGGGCCATGTCCGTTGCTTTCTACTTTCCCAGGATATGGCTGCACTTGCGAACTTAAAGGCAAAACCTGTGAAAGATCTGCGATCGTCTATGTTGGAGGCCCAGTAAGCATCTGCGTAGCCTACTAGGTTTTGGCCACTAGCCATGGTTTTGGGTTCCTTATAAGTAGCGTAATACCCTTTTTGCAGCCATCCAGTGCTGTTTCCCAAAATTTGTGTTATATCGGCTTAGTGCACTCACTGCGAACGCTATATCAGGGCCTTTTCGCTTCCTGTGGTTTGAAACATTTCTGTAGACAATTTTTCGCTTCTATTAATTGGAGTATTTACAGGCTTGCAGTTTTCCATGTTGAAACGTTTCAGGATGTCTGCTATATACTTTGGTTGGGCCATGGTGAACTCTGTCTTGTCTTCGCTTTGTTTAAATTCTATGCCCAAACAATACGATATCTTGCCCAAATCTTGCATCTGGAATTTGTCAAGCAATTCATGCTTCAACTGCGAAATCATTTCGACGTTATTTTTTGCTATTATGAGGTCGTCTACGTAAAGCGATACTATCAGGATCCCATTTCGTTCACGTTTTAAGTACACGCACTGATCGGCTGCGAGTGGCTCAAGGTTCGATTCTTTGAGTTGGCAGTCTAGCTTTTTGTAACATTGGCGACCGCTCTGCTTTAGACCATATAGTGTCTTTCTTAACTTGCAAACTTTCTCGGGGTCAATATTTGCTGTCAATATTTCCTGGAACTCAGGTGGGACGCTGATATAAAGTTCTTCTTCGATGTCCCCATTTAAATAGGCGCTGTTGAAATCGAATTGGTGAACATCCAATCCGAGTTCCGTGGCTAAAGCTGTTAATTTCCTTATTGAGCTCATTCGGGATACTAGAGAAAAGGTCTCGTCGTAATCAATACCTTCACGTTGTGTAAATCCTTTTGCGACCAATAGAGCTTTTCGACAATTTATCTTTCCGTCGGGCGAATATTTTGTTCGTAGCACCCACTTCGTTTCGATAACCTTATGGTATTTCTGACGATCGACAACCTCCCATGTATTGTTCTTTTTCAATGACTCCGAGAAGTCATCTGTATATATCAGAAAATAACGGCTGCCTCCGTGGCTGTTTACACGCATGGGCGTGTAATCCACACGTCACTGTGGATTAATTCTAGTACATCCCTTGCCCTTGAATTTGATACTGGGAACGGCTTCTGGGACTGCTTCCCCTTGATGCATATTTCACAAATTGGGAGACTCTCCTTTAGGTTTACCTTAGCTCCTTAAACTTTGCCTTTTTCGATCAGTTCTTTCAGATCTGGCTCATTTAGATGGCCGAAACGCTCATGCCATTCTTTGATGCTGTTTTGCTTACTTATAGCAATCTGGCTGCTTTCGTGTGTTTCCTCGATCTGGTACAAGTCCAACTTGCGAGGAGCGGTAAAGACTAATTCTCCTCCTTTAGTTCTAACTACCTCAGCTATTTCTTTCTTGAATATTACATTGAAGCCGTGATCACATATTTTTGAGACCAATAAGAGATTGGTTCTTAAATCCGGCACATAGAGTGCGTTTTTCAAGCTGGCAGTGAACTTGTTGTTTGGGGAGAACTGCACGGATCCACATCCTTTTATATCTGTGGCCTCATCATTTGCCAGTCTGAGCTTCGAGCCTTCTGCTGGCTCCAGGGTCTCGAACTAGAGTCTAGACACCAGTTACTGCAATCACTGTTTGTATAATTAGCTATGTTGATGTACATGCTTTCGCTCTGGTTCTTCATTGGCTTTGATCTGCACTCAGCTGCACGGTGAATGACATTTCCGCAGCTGTTACATTTAAACTTAAATTTTTGATTAGTGCTTAGTTGTTTCGGCTTGCTGGGATTATACTTCTTGTGCACCAATAATGCTCCAGGCGTCGACTCGCTTGGATTTCTGTTTCTTGCCTCGTATTCGTCTAGTAACTTAGTTTTTAGTGCTTCTGTTGATATTAAGTTGTCCTGAGTTTCAATTGCAATTCGAGACTGTTCGTCCTCTTCTGGTATACTGTATAGTAGCAAGATGGTTAACAGATCGTCAATATTCAGGAGATTAACTTCGTTTATTTTGTCAGCTAAATCGGAAAACTTATCTATGTGGCTTCTCATATCTCCGCCAGCATTCATTTTCAGTAAGATCAGCGATTTCAACAGTGCGGCTTTACGGGCCCCGTAGACTGGTAAGTGTTGTGCACCTTTACCCATATATAATTTGCAGTTTCGTAGTTCTTCGTATGCCTAAGTTTCGATGTTGACATGGCCAAAATGATATCGGACTTAGCCTTTGCATCTTCGTTTATCCATTGTGCGAAATTATATTCGGGTTTTAAAAGAGTCCCGTTGACATATTTCCACAAGTCATTTTTTATCAAAAGGGCCTGTATTTGTATTTTCCAGGTGTCGAAATTGTCTTTGCCCAAAGGCTCTATGCGTATGCTGTGGGTGCTGTGCCCATAACCTGTTAGGTTTTTAGGCTGAGTAATAGTTTTATTTATTTGTAATAATGAAGGTGTTGTATTTTACACGTTGTTGGCGATAGAGATGACAGATCAGAAGAAGAGGCCTTAGAGGAGATACTAATGCTCGCGATATGTATCGGGTAGTGCTGACAATTGTATTTCCAATAAAAAGTTTTTTGAAATGCCTTTCTGTACTGGCGCTACAGGAATTGGTAATTTATGGAGGCGTGGAAAAAATTTGATACAAGCTTCAACTCCTAATAAATCCTATAACTCAGTCTCCTATAGCTCTAGCGCTTTTATGTGGACAGACGGGCGGACGGACGGACAAACGGGCTTGGCTATATCGACTCGGATGTTGATGCTGTTGATCAAGAATATATATAGCTTATGGAGTCGGAGATGATTCCTTCTCTATCTTTTATACATTCACACGACTCCAATATACCATTGAACTCTACAAATGGTTGTGGTTTAATACCAGAATGCGGGTAGAGCCTTCGGGTTCGATGAGGAGTTGCGTTATATAACCGGGTGCCAGGATCCTACAGACCGGAAGATATTTAGATAGGCCTTCATTCTTAACTGAGGATATAAGCCATGACTGGAACAGACTGGCTTGAGTGTCGGGGCGCTGATTGACCGATTATCTCATATCCCATGCCCTAGGGCCATCATGGCAGGTGCCTGGGTCGCGCCATGTCAAGTGCGACACATACAAATTTTTTTTTTCAATATTTACGTTTTCAATTTTTGTAATTTTTGAGAAACTGACTTTTTTTTTTGAGAAAATCCAACAGTTTGTTTATTATCGATAATGAAAATTCGGCGCCCAATAAAACATCCCGCAAATAAAGGGGTTCAATAAAACGAAACTCTTCAATCAGTTTCAAAAGCTTTTAAAATATAAAGAGGGCATATTTTGTAATACATGAGGGCATACTATATGAATAGTATATTCTTTCCATAAAGTCCCCGACCTCATCGGGGATGTCTCCTTCTTTCTCTTATATACATTTTCGCTAAAGCAGTGGTTTCAGTTTCACTAAAGCTCATTTTCCATAACACCCGTGTATAGGGTCGGAAATTCTGCCGCATCATTCTCTTAAAAAGCTTTAAAAAAAATAAATACACTTTATTAGTGCCCATTCCAATTTTTGAATTAACAAAAAAAAATAACAGAAAAAAAACTACTTTTTTTTCGCTCAGTGAATGCTTTGTTCTCATTGGTTTTTGATTCATTCTCATTAATTGCGAAACTCTTTACCGCGAATTAATAGAGTGGATATAAAACGAATAGACATTTATACTGTCTGTATGATTGCACTCAAAATTTTTGGTTATTTGAGTACAATAAGTTTAAGTCGCAATTGAGCGTGCCAAACCATTTCAACAAAGTGAATTGCGGATTGTTAAGGGTTGTTTTCGTTGTATGTGAAATGAGTGAAATTCAAACCAATGTGGAATGGATAGAATGAGTGAATGCAGAGTAAATGCTTCGAGTACTCGGATAAAATTTTGGCATTCTCGTCATTCATGGAAGGTAGAGCAGAAGCTAAAACTAGTTGCACATTTTTTTGTATACCTGCAAGCAGCTCGGCAAGCAGGTAGTAAGCAGCTACCTGCAAAGAGCCTTTTCAGATGCTAGAAATTTAATTTCTGAAAAGCGATGTATTATTGCTAACAATGCAGATACAATAAAAAAAAATTATGTTTTTGCATTCTGTTATAAAAAATTAAATAAATGACATATACATGTATATATTATAATTAATCCATGCCTTTATATTTTTCTATTTCTTGTATTGAAAAGCAACACAAAAACAAAAACAAAAAATAAATTTGACGTCACAAATGCGACGCACAACTAACCGAGTACTCGGTTACAAAACTCATTTGGTTATTGCGTCGCCGTTCGGATAGAGTAAATTTTTTACTCATGCCTTTACCACATTTGCCAAATCCGTTTTACTCAATGTCTCACTCAGTCAGTCTTTTTTTTACCCTTTAAAAATATTAAATATTACAATGTTTACATATTTCACTTTACCCTTTAAAATTATTAAATATACAATTAAATGTACATACATTGTTTTTCTCCTTTTTTAAATATTTTTCAATATAAATATACTCAATTCTAATAAGGAATTAATCCAATAAAATGTATATATTTTATTTTTTTTCTAAAGAGTTCATGGCCTATAGAGATACTTACTGTAGACAAATGATGGTAGTGTGCAACAAGTAGATATGGCATGGTAAAAAGCGTAGAATACATAACTCCTGCCGTCCAACTAAATAATAAGACACTTAATTTAGCTCGAGTTAGTGCCATGAATGCCATTCCAATGCTATAAAATATTAGTCCTCCAACATACACATATTTAGCTCTGTAAGTATTCAAAAAAAAGATGATTCTTTTAAAACTTAGTTATTAATTAACTTACCTAAAACGAGCAATTAGCTTGTCAATAATAAGTGAATAAAAAGAGCACGAAAGAGAATACATTGCCATTCCCAAACATCCAAATCGAACTCCCTCTTCGTATCTTAATTGGCCCTCGGAGCCTTGCTTTGCATTTGGGTCCCCTTTAAATACTGCCTCCCCTACAAAATCGGTAAAATACAAAGAATAGCAAACATGAGCCATCCAGCAAAAGAGATTAGTGAGGCAGATCATTCTCAATGAATAGGGCATGTTCACAATCGATAATAGATAATGATGCAGAGACTCTATTTCCACCGATTTTTCTTGAACAGAGCCATCAACTTTGTTAGCCATTTCTACTTTACAAGATGTTGTAAAACTTGTTTCAATAATGTCGTTGATTTCGTTGGAATCATGTGGTGGTGCTCCAGAGCTGTCCTACGATCAAAAAATGATTTAAATTGATTAAAATTTGTTTTTTTAGCAACATTAACTATTTTTTACAAACAAAAACCAATAAATTAACGTAATCTAGTTGTAGTAAAATATATATATATATAAAAAAAGTAAGAAATATAAAAATACGTATAAAAAAATATCACGATGATATTTTTATGTTTGTACAAGATACAAGATGATTCCAGATATTTAAGATATTAGATTTTAGATATTTTAAACACTTTCAGAGGGTATTATAATTTTGGTCAAATGTGTGCAACGCAGTGAAGAAGACATCTCCGACCCTATAAAGAGTATATATATTTCCGATCAGGATCACCTTCTCAGTTGATATAAGCATGTCCGTCTGTCTGTTTCTGTCTGTTTAAAGCTATCGTCTTGAAACTTTGCACACACCTTTTGTAAGTCGGAACGGCCGGGATAGGCCGACTATATCCTATAGCTGCCATATAACTGAACGATAGCTGAAATTAAGTACAGATTCTATTTTTGGTCAGATAATCCGACCTACCAAATTTCATAACGATCGGTCGACTATATCTTATAGCTGCCATATAACTGAACGATCGGAAATGGTTTTTGGTAGAAATACTAACTTTGGTATTTTTAAAGATAGAAGTTTAGGACTTGTTTTAAATTTTGTATTATTATAAATTGGGTTATATTATCATATTCTCATAAGAATCGGGCAACTTTATCCGATGTTTCCGATATATATCCGGTTTTAACTGCAAGGGTATATTAACTTCGGCTCCGCCCGAAGTTAGCTTTCCTTTCTTGTTTTTTGAACAAACTACTGCTGTGCTTAAAAATAATAAGTAATGTGATTCAAACATAATTGTTCGTCAAAAATACCTGCACGTACTTATTAATTCACATGAATACTTATTTTTTTTTGTTTCGCGGTTTTTTAGAATTTTATTATTAGCTAGTATTCTTGAATTCATCATAAAGCGATTTCCGAAACGCATCAGAATCGATTTATTATTAATCTGTTATTTATTAAATTAAGAAAATAAGGAAATGTAAAATACTTCATTTTAAATTTGAAGGTCATTGTATTGTAGTACGAACATATGACCCTCAAAGAATCGTGCTGTGCATATGTCGACTAAAGCCATGGCTAAGAAATAGGGGACTAAAGTTTCTAGTCCTTCTATTAGAAATGTTAAAATTTAAGCGTGTTAGTTTTTATGCTGGCTATCTTTATCCCCATTGATTAGGTTATGTAGAAAAACTACACCCAGCATTGCCCTACGGTTAGGAAAGGTTGGTAAGTTTATTAGAAAGAGTCTGCTACTGTAAGAGGGAAGATGAAGATTTGCATGCCAGTTAAGACCTCTAAGTGAAAATTTCAAGAAATTTTTTTTTACGGATTCTATGCGGTTTTATGTAATTCTATGTAATCTTTTTTTGGGACTTCAGACACATGAACCGTACTCCAGTATCGGACGGACCAAAGAAACTTTTACCAAAATAAAGAAACTTTTAGTAATATAAGGGTCGATAAATTCTTTTGACAACCTTTTAATAAAACCAATGACACCTTTACCCTTATTAACCATTGTGGAAATATGGGTTGTTTTGAAAAAGTTTTGATTCTAACATGTAGGACACCGAGATTATTAACCTGTGCACTATGGGCGATTTTTCATAATGGGCGGCATAAAGTCATAAAATTTATGGTGAAATATTAAGGAAATGTTTTTTTTTATTAATAGTAAACAATTCAGTTAGCTGAAAAACAATTTTTTTTTTTATCGGGTAGCAACTCTCTTTTTGTGGCAGCCCTTCAAAACCAGATGATCTGTTGATGCTCGAATTATATAAATTGGCACAAAAAATTTCATGCTGTTGAAAGTACCTAAATTATTATTGGCTTCGTTTAAATTAATAAGTGTAATATGGATAGCAAAGCTCAACGTATTTAGAATCTTTTATTTACGATAAATGTGTATAAATGTTCGTGGTGTTTTTAATTTCCAGTGTTATTGTTGATTGTATTTTTAGCAATAATCTAACAATTTTAATTGTGTTCCGTGGAGTATTTCTTGAAAAGTGCATATCAAAACATCCAACTAAAAATGGCAAGTTACTAACGAAAGTGTCTAGTTTATTGTAGTAATCATGTTTTTTGCTCTTTTTTGTTCCTTTAAAAGAAAAATGCACTTGAACATCCAACATCAGAGCTGAGTTCATACAATTTTTTTAATGATGAAGACACCGAATCAGACAACGAAAGCGATGACAAACATGAGAATTCTTTTGTTTTAGATGAAGAAGATTATTAACTTTTTGTTTTTTTAGGTTTAGAATATTGTTAAAACATGGTAAAATATTATTTTTTCTATTTTTATGCTTTGCTTTATAATAAAAATTTAAATTTTTGTACAAGTGCCGGGGCTATAAAGGGGCGGAAAATAAAGGCAAGGTCAAATTAAATAAAAAAAAAAAAATCCGAAAACAAACTAAAATATTAGTAACCTTAAAAAAAAAATTAAGCTCCTAGCTCTATGTGTGGACTTTATGCCGCCAAAATCAACTAATCGCCCATAGTGCTGTGTTAATTTTTCTAAAGCAATTCCATAGAGAGTATACGTAGCCTGCGCAGGGCAAGAACGATAAAAAGACATTAGCTTGCATTTTTAAACAATAAATTTTAAATCATTTGCTAAACACCATTTCATTTTTCAGATTTTGAGATTTCAAATTTTTGAGATCGGACTGAAGTTTGCATTGGGCAGAAGCGAATTTGTATTGAAGACAATACTTAATACTTGAAGGCTTCACATCATCTGCATACATAAGTACAGACAGTTCGTTGAAGTCCTTAATAAAAATAGTAAACTGTAACGAGCCAAGATGACTTCCTTGAGGGATCCCAGATGTAGCACGGACCAAGCGGAAATGTACTTTTTTAAAAAACAGTTTTTGTGTTCTTCCAACTAAGTAACTGAAGATCCACGTTAGGAGTTCTGTAGAAAATTGCGAAGACTCACTTTACTCAACAGGAGTGAGTGATTGACTGAATCAAATGGTTTACTAAAGTTTGTGTAAATAACATGAGTTAAAAATCCCTTTTGAAAGCCATTTATGACAAAGGATGTCAATTGTGTAACGGTGTATATTAGTATATTAGTGGTGATGGAAAAATGGTCAAAGAGCAAAGGTGTTGCAAATAAGGATTAACTAATTTTTCAAATTACTTTGGAATTGCCAACAATTTAGCGATGCCTCTGTAGTTGGCAGCATCGAACTCTTCCCTTTTTATGTAAGGCAATTATAAAAGATTCTTTCCACATAACGGGAAAAATTGCGGTTTCCAAAGATAAGTTTTCTTTTAAGTTTAAAGTCGATGTAGAGGCTTGCACAAAGTCTGCCACTCCATCGGAACCTTGCGAATAAACGAGTTTGATTCTCGGAAAAAGACAGAAAATAAGATTTTTCGATTGAATGATGTATGCGTAAGACTGATCTGTCATTTTAGGAGAGTATGTTGATTGAACAAATTTTGCGAATAGATCAGCAATGGCCTGATCAGGGGTCGCAGATGAATTTTCAAACGTATGCAGAGTTGGAAAATATAAATGTTTTCGCTTAGTGTTTACAATGTTATAAAACTGCTTCGGTTCCTGGGTAAATTGAACCCGACAGCAGCAAATATAGGTCCAAAAACATTTAGCGTTATGCGCGGTTAAATTTGACCGAGCTGTAGATATATTGAAAAATCTATACTACTGCCGGTTTTTGTATATTTCAGTAAGAGCCTGTTTAAAGGTGGGACATCTGAGTAACAGGCGAAAAAAACGGATTTTCTGGAATTTTTGTTGGCTAAATGAAAATGCCAATCGAAAATTTGTAAATGAGTTTTTATATTCTATTATATTTAAAGCATAAAATAAATAAATCGAAAACAAAATGGCGGCTCTGCAGCCTTTATTCGTAGGCCCTATTTTTTTAAAAGGGGTCCATGGCCGAACACCTAACGTCCTTAATTTTTGATCTAAAACAAAAAATCAAGTTTGGTTAGTTTCTGTACATCAACAGCTATTGACACACGTAGGATATTTTCGATGTATTGATTTTTTCCAAAATGGTGAGTGATTGAACCTAATTTTCAATTTTCACGAACAAAAAACGTCACAAAATTGTTGATAAAAAAAAAGTAAGCAATATAAAAAAAATGTCGTGTGTCGATAGACATAGGTATTCTGAGTATACTGTCAAAATTTTAGATTAAAGTTTTAAGTACTGTGGGATATACATACCTGTGAGGCATCGCCGCAGAATGACAAATTTCGACACTTAGACACTTTGGCCGGACTCTATCTTTTGATATGTTATTTTTAAGACCCTAAAGAATTTTGTAAGCTAAAAAAAAAATTTTCAATTTTTTCAAAACTCTACTCAGTTGTCCCCCCTTAAGTGTTTTTTAAGTTCATAAGGCACCTTGTAAACTAAGGAGGATTTGCTTAAGCGGACGAATATTTCCACGGCACACTCGAGTCAAAAAATGTATTTAAAGTATGGTACAATTTTCGAAGGTTGCATTTACATCGGTGCATTTCAGAATATAGGACCAATCAAATGTATCGATAAGGCTATTAAGTTTGTGAAAATCATCCTTAGGGTTACAGCGAATCTCACAGCGAAAAATTTGAGTGATGGAACCTATGTTTGGTAAGGTTAAGGGGAGCCAAAAGGTCATAGAACCTCTCCAGCGAGGATCCGGTGGAGGAGGTACGCCATAAGTAATTTATAATCGAATCCTTAACCTTTCAATAAAAGAGGCATTTTTTTAGAAAAGCTAACTGAATTATTTCTTGGCACCCGCAACGACGTCGAAACTATGAATTCGATGGAACCTACCCACAACCCTTGTGAACTAGTCGTGACATTTAATGATCGTTATTCGTTACCTCTTACACTTTATCAATTTATAAGAATTGTCGCGAAGGAATGATCACAACAGGACGGCG